TGACACGTGTCTGCCGGCTGCGGTTCCGGACGGCCTTGGACCGCTTCCGCTCCCCGACGAGAAGGACACGGAGGTCCGCTGCGTGCACGGTGGCAGCATCAGCTCCGTGTACGTTCCTGATCCCGGTGTGCGTGGTCTGTGCTTTGTCAACGTGACCTTCACCGCCGCGATTGTGCTGGACCTGTCGTATTTTGACGCGCCACAGCATACACTGAACATCACGCTGCTGCAGTGCGTCCTCGTGGGCCTGTCGATCAGGGGGAGTGGTGCGCGTGTGCACGTGGACGTGACTTCTTCGATGTTGGATTCTGGTGAGTTGGTGTTTCAGGGTGATTTTGGCGCGAGCTCCCAGATATTGGTGGTGGGCTGTACGCTTGTGACGACGTCGGGCCACGCCATTTCCTTTGCGAAGTTTATTTTTGGTGCGAATATGACGCTGCTGCTACTTGACAACTACATTGAGGCGAGTAGGTACGCGGTCTATTTCATCAGTGTTGTTGTTGATGGTGGCGGGATCATTGTGAAGGGAAATACGCTGAGGACAACGGAGGACGATGACGGTTTGGAATCATCTGTTTGCGTTAATGTTATTGATTTGAAGAACGGCGGCTACTTTGACGTGGAGAACAACACGATGAGCTCGGTCAATGGCGTTATTCTTTTTGGGAATACTACCGTGAGCTCCGCGGGGCTGCTGCGAGTGGCAGACTGCACCTTTGTTGACGGGACGGAAATTTTTGATTCCGCGCTGGTGTATTTGTCTGGCTCGGCGACCCTTGAGGGAGGTGCGCAGTGGCGTGTGGAGGGCAACAGCGTAGGTGCAGCCTCAGTATTAACTATTCCGTACCCCCAGTACAAGATTAGGTTATCGGGCAGCGGCACCACCGTGGCGCTTGCACACAACCGTCAGGTGGACAATAGTTATCCCTTCGCTGATTTTTCTCCGCCAGACACGATTGTTGAGTTACCCGCGCGGTTTGTCGTTGGGTGCAACCTGCAGGGCGATGAGGAGGTGTCGTACGACGATGTGTTTCCGGAGGAGGTGGAAGTCTTCAGGTGTGGCACATGCAACGAAGATGCGGCGTGCTACATGCCCGGGACGGAGTTGGTGGACCGCAGCTTGTGCTCGTGCAGCTGCAAGGACGGATGGCATGGCGCGTCGTGTCTTCCCTTCGAGGTGCCCGACACGGTTGTGCCGCCCGTGGCGGAGAGAGCCGTTGACGGCGACACGAGCTGCATGGTGAACCAGACGCTGACGAACGTTACGCTGAACATGTGGAAGACGCACCACTGCTACGTGGGTGTGACATTCAGCGGCGTGGGTGCTGTACCGAAGTTTTTCCTCAACAGTATGCCGCTGCACCTCCCCATCAACATTACGCTCACTGGGTGCACATTTCGTGAGGGTGCCGCGCTGCAGTTTTTTGGGGGTGCTGAGGCGGTTGAGTCATCTGGCGTCCTGATACGCGTGAGCCAGACGGTGATGCGTTCCTCCACCGTTGCTTTTGTACGTGCCCTCCCGCAGCACTGCGACATTGCCGTCACGGAGGTTGATGCGGTGCAGTCCTCCGAGTCTGAACTGCCGGACACTAGGATGAACACGTTGAGCTTCGTGATGCTGAAGGACGTCGTGTTGAGTGCGTCCTCGCTGTTGATCAGCAACGTCAAGGCGCATGCGACGAAGCGTGATGCGTTCGTTGTGTACTCGACAGGGACGCTGACGCTGGTGGGTGGCAGCTCGCTGTACGCGCGTTACTGCAGCTTTGAGGGATACAAATACCTGTTCTACGCGTACAGTCTCAGTGTCCGCAATCACTCTGTTTTTACGCTTCTCAACAATACGATGTTCTCCGGGGTAAGCCTGCTGTATCAGCGACAAGTATTCAACGTGTCGGATCACAGCGTGTTGCGCGTGGTGGGGAACAGCGGCTCAGCTCGCTACGCCATCTATAACAATGGCATGTGGACTGTTCAGCGGTCAAGCTGGCTGGATTGGCGTGACAACAAAGTGGAGGTGGGTGCGATGTTCTACGACACTGTGTCCGCTTTTGGGAGCGTTGACGGCAGCAGTGTGGTGACGCTGACGGGCTGCAAGATGGGCTCGACGGGGTTGTCGGTGTCCCTGTTATCTCGGGCTGACGCCGGCTACCGGTTTGTTGCTGGGTGTCTGACGGTCGCGGGACGTGTGGTGACGACGGCGGCTGAACTGGAGCTCCACGGCATCACCAACGTGACGACGGTTACCGCGTGCGGGGAGTGCACGAAGGAGGGCGACTGCTTTGCTCCGCTGACGGCGGCGGTCAGCGACTGCAATTGCCGGTGCGCTGCTGGAGGGCACGGCGATGTGTGCGTCCCGGCGCCTGTGCCTGCTGGCCCGCCACCGCCCACGCCACTGCCACCAATACCCACGCCGCCACCGCCGCCGATTGGCGAGTGCATCAGTGACATGGTATACCCCGAGGCTGCGCAGGCAGTGGGCGGCGGGCTGTCGTGGCTGTGCTACCGCAACGTGACGTTCAGCGGGGGCGGCATGAGCCTGACGGTGCTGATAGGGGCGATGACGGGCGACGTGGCGAATGTCAGGTTCGATGGATGCACGTGGAGGGACGGCGCCGTGCTGTTGCTGTTGGGCAACGCGCACGCCGCTGTGGGGTCGCTGAATATTGTCGTCACCGGCAACACATTTAGTGATGCGCTGCTCAGCCCGGAGGGTGTGTTTCCACCGCACACGAACATCACGATCAGCGGGAACCGTTTTGCGATCACGAGGCTGTTCCATTGGTTGGGTTTGGACCTTAGGAGGCCGTCGTGTGTTGTGATGAATGGGCTGGCGATCAGCAACGACTCCGCGGTGGTGCTGGGTGGCAATGTGTTTCAGAGCGTGACGGCATCGTCAAGTGTCATAAAATTTGTTGGATCTGCGCTGAGGGTGTCGTGGCACTCCGTGCTTGCGGTGGTGGGCAACACGTTTAATATGGCTGGCGGTGACAGTACGCTGATTAATCTTGAAGGGTCTGGCCAATTTTCATCGCTGAAGGTGCTGAACAACTCTGCCGTGGTGATCCGAGGCAACTTTGTGGCGAGGCCGGTGAAGTACTTTTTATTACTAATTTTGATATTACGTGTGGAATCCCGGTCAGCGGTTGTGTTTCAGGGCAACGACATGCAGAGAAGCTCGGTTGTATTTTTTTCAAGCTACTCTTCCTACATCTACTACAACTCCTGGCTGCAGCTGAGCGGCAACCTCTGCCGTGAATCCCCATCGGCAGCCTTTCTCTTTCTGAACCCCACGGTGAATCTCCGCGACTCCGCGGTGTCTGTGTCCGGCAACCGATTCATTTCCAGTACGTTCACGCCGACCGTTTTGCGGATATCCACGGTGTCTCGCGATCTCACAAACGGAGCGATTGTGGCGGCGTGCAACACTGTGAACGGCGAGGAGGCGTACTATAGCATCCCGTCTGTGTACAATGCCACCATCCTGACCTGCAGCGACCCATGCGCCCTTGCGACGTCGTGCTTCCCCGCGTACACGACGACTGCCTCGAGTGATGGCTGCGCCTGCGCATGCGCTGAGGGTGGCCACGGCGATGCGTGTTTGCCCGTTGCTGTCCCCGAGCCACCGAGCACCGACGGCGCCGACTTGTGCGTGCGGGACGTGCGTGTGGATGGAGAGGTGAATGCCGGTGTCGGGACGTCGGTGTTGTGCTACGTTGGTGTGACCTTTGCGGCGGACGTCGTGGTGGACGTGGAGTTGATGTCAGGGAGCGTGCGCAACGTGACGCTGGCGAAATGCACGTTTGTGGACGGAGCGAGCCTGTACGTTGTTGGGTGGCGATTCGACCCGTCTGCTGGCGAGCGCGTCGATGTGTTGGTCAACGGGCTTGAGTCGCGCTCCGGCGGCGGCGTGTTGGTGGCGAACCGATTTCCGCCGGGCTCGCGCGTCACTGTGGTGGACTCGGTGCTGATTGCAGAGAAGCGTGTTGCGTACCGCGGTACCTACGAGCTTGGCGAAGCGTCCGCGTGCCTTGTGTTGCACAACGTGAATCTGACTGGGAGCGTGCTGACCATTGCGCGCACGCAGGTGGCGGCTGTGTTCCGCGACGCTGTTGGCGTGTTGTTTGTTGGCGGCGTGGCGCTGTCGTCGCGCGGTGCACTGTACGTGGACGGGCTGTCGGTGCAGACGGCGCTGGGGCTGTGCGTGTCGGTGGAGGGCGGTGTTGCTGCCAGTGGCGGCTCCGTTGTGGCGTTTGTTGACAGCGACTTCTTTCTGTGCAATCACGCAGTCTGCGTGGATGGGTCTGTGAGCGTGTCGGGCTCCGCCGTGGCGCTTGTGCGGAGCGACTTTTTGACGACGGAGGACTACGCGGTGGCGTTTTATTCGACGGTGAGCCTGGATGGCGGGTCGATGCTGCTGGCGAAGGGCAACGTGCACGACGGCGTCTCGAGGGAGATGCTCTACGCCGCTGGCGCCGTGACCGCTGTTGGGAGCACGCTGAGCTTTGTGCGCAATCGTGCGCTGCTGCCGCGGATGCTGTCGGTAAGCCTTTCGCTTTCGGCTGGGGCGCATTTGAGGGTGGCGTGCAACGACGCTGGTGGACGTGTCCTGTCGACGGCGGAGGAGTACGCAGCGGCTGGTTTTGGCGACGCTGGGAGCATCGACGTTGCTGGGTGCGACGCCTGCGACAGGGACACGCACTGCTACGCGCCCGGGACTGCGTCGGCGAGCATGAAGAACGGTGTGTGCGTGTGCGCGTGCGGCAGCGGCGGGTACGGCGAGACGTGCGTGCCTGTGGGAGCTCCTGCTCTGCCGCCCGCTGTGGGCACTGCGTCGAGTGTGTTTGTCCGCGAGAGCGTGACGGTGCGGTCTGTGTTCGTTGTGCCTGCCGGTGCGAGCGAGGTGACGCTGCGCCACGTTGTGCTGGACGGCGTGAGTCCGGTGCTCTACGTGCCGTGGATGGCGCGGGACGGCGTGCGGATCATTGTGCAGAACGTGTCGCTGCTGAACGGTGCCGTGCTGTACGTGATGGGCGGTGGAGCGTTGCGCGGTGCGGGTGCGGCGGGGAGCGACGAGAGCGGGCCGGTGGAGCTGTCCGTGTGCGATGTGGAGGCGCTGAACGGTGCGCTTGTGCTGACCGGCACGTTTCCCGCGGGGTCTGTGCTGACGGTGACCGACTCCCTGCTGGTTGCCGCGAGGCCGACGCCGCTTGTGTATCTTCCCGGCTCGCAGTCCTCGCCGTACGCACCGGTGCTGGTGCTGTCTGACCTGCGGCTCGTGCGGTCAGTGCTGGTTGTGTTCGGCGTGGCCCTTGTGACCGTGATGACTGGTGGGCGGACGGTGGTGGTGGACGGCGCTGTGCTGCGCGTGTCGGGGAGCCAGGTGTACGCCGCGCATGGGTTGGTGTTCGACAGCGGTGTTGAGGCCAACGCGTCCGCCGTCGTAGTGAACGACAACGCCGGTGCGCTGACCGATGGCGCGCTGCTGGTGCTGCGGGGGTCGGCGTCGTTTGCGTCCGGGTCGTGGATGTCGGTGCGCGGCAACAGCATCAGCGGCAGGCTTCTGTCGGTGCCGTCGTACCCGCGCCGTGCGGAACTCGTGCAGAGCACGCTGACGCTCCACGGGAACGCTGGCAGTGGGCCCGTCGTGATGGACGGCACCGTTGCGCTCGGGGGCGCCGGCCGAAAGTTCGTCGTGGGGTGCCTGACGCTCAACGGGCAGGCGCTGCAGCCGATGCACTACAGGTCCGCCGGCATCATCGGGGAATTCCGCCCCGTGGCGTGTGGCGTGTGCGACGCCGACGTGAGCTGCTTTGCTGCTGCGACGAGGGCGATGTCGGGGTCGTGCCGCTGCCGCTGTGCTGAGGGCGGGTACGGGCGCGACTGCCTGCCGGTGTACCTGCCGCACGTGGACGGGTGCAACCGCACGCCAGCCATGCCGCTGCTGAGCCACACGGCGACGCTGACGGAGACGCGCAGCCTGACGGCGATGTGGACGCCGAGCCTGAACGCGACGCACTACAGTCCGCCGCACTACAGTCCGACGGAGACGTTGCAGGTGACGGAGACGGTGGCGCTGCCGCCCACGCGGACCCCGACGGCGTCGGTGAGCAGCACGCTGTGGTGGAGCGACGTGACGTGCCCGACGCTCGCCGTGACGACAACGGCGGCTGGTGGGAGCCTGACGCAGAGCGACATTCGCGGCGGTGGGAGCGCCGCCCCGACACTGCTGATGGTGGCGCTGCCGCCACCGTTTCGATGGGCAAGCGACCCGCAGCTCGGCACGCACCTGAGCTTCGTGCCGGTGTCGACGGCGCAGCCGAGCGGCTTCGGTGGTCCGTGGGGAGCGATGCTGAGCAACGCGACGTGGGTGCGCAACGCGACGAATCCGTCCACCGTCCTGGAGCTCGCTGTGCCCGTGCACCGCGGTTACTTCACTGCTGCCGACGAGACGATAGTCATTCGCTGCGACGCTGTGGCGGTGTTCGGCGGCTGCAAGGGAGTGCTGCTTGGGTCCTTCACGATCAGGTCCGACATGCTGCCCGCCGCTGCCAGCGCCCTCTCGGCGATCACCGGCGTTGTTGCGGGTGCGGTGGCTGTTGCCGTGGTGGTGACTGGCGGGCTGGGCTCCATCCTGGAGATGCAGGCACTCGGCGTGTTTGCGAGGATGTCATGCGCCTCGGCACAGGAGCGTGCGAGCACCGTTGCGCTGCCGTACTTCCTGTCGGTGTTCGCTTCCCTCGATCCGCTATGGATGGTGGTGGGCAACGCGCTGCTCGCCGCTTTGTTTGGGTGCGTGCACTGCGGTGTGACGGCCGCCTTCCAGCGGTTGCGCGGCGTGGACGCGGCGAGTGCGTGGGCTGCGATGCGCTTCCCGAGCCTGACGTACGTCGTGGCGCACGCGATGCACCTCGGCATTTTCTTTGGCTCCGTGTTTGCACTGGCGATGCCCAGTGCCCGCGTGCAGCACCGCGTGATTGGCGTTGTTGGTGTGCTGTACGGTGTGGCGTTCCCTGCTGGTGTGTGCTACGTGATTGCTTGCCACACGGGCGCGAGCTTCACGAAGTACTGGCAGTTTTCGAGGAAGCCGCTGCACGAGCGCCTGCTGTACCCCGTCGGGTATTGGCACCCCGCGGCGCAGCAGCGGATGTACGGCGGCATGCTGACGAACATGAGGGGCAGCCACGTGTACTGGTGCGTGTTCCAGCTGTCGGTGCTGTGTGTGGTGTGCCTGATTGCGGCTGTGCACCCGCCCGTGGGAGGCTGCCACGTTCAGTACTTCTGCATGGCGGCTGTGCTGCTTGCGGGTGCGGGCGTGGTTGCCTTCACGAACATGATGCGCTCGTCCTTCCTGACGGTGATGCACACTGCGAGCTTTGTGATCCTTGCGGCGCTGTGTTTGGTCAGCGCGGCCAACCACCTTGCGCCGAGCGACGGCGGTGCGAGGGCGTACGCGACTATCGTGCTGCTGCTGACCGCTGTGCTGCTTGCGATCACCGTGTACAGCGTCGTTGTGTGGTACGCGGAGGACCGCCACTGGCAGGAGCTGCGCGAGCCGCGGCGTGGTGGACTGGAGGCACTGCTGCGCGATGACGAGGAGAGCGACGAAGAGACGCAGAAGCCCCACGAAAGGACGTCATCGTCGTACGCCTCGGGCACCACCGTTGCGTCGTTGTACCGACCACCCGCACCGCCGTTGCAGCCCATGGCTGGTGACACCCGCTCAGACGCACAGAGCCTGCTCGAGTGTGCATCGAGTGCGAGAGGCAAAATTGATCACGCCCTCCTGTGACGTGCAACACGTGGAACTGACAGGCGTGCGGTGTGCGGTGATTGAGGAGCCACGGATGTGCTGCGCCCCACAGCCAGCCATCGTTAACAGCACCGACGGTATTGTTGATTGTTGTTTCTATCGATGTGTTTCTATTTTGAGCGGGTGCTTTCAGGAGTTTTTCCCGTTTCATGATGACTGTGTGGAAGGGGATTGTACTGTCGCCCTTGTTGCTCCTGATGTTGTGTTGTATCGGACTGTAATTTCGTGGAGTTGTGTGCGAGGAAATTAGCGCTCATTTTGTGCAATGGAGGAGGGATCCAGCGAACCGCCTATTGGAAGTAATGAATTGCGGCTCTGCCTTACCGTGGGTTTGCATGCAGGAGGCATTACAATTCTCAGGAGCAAAGCGGCGACAGAGTGGTAGCAGGACTCCAGGTTTCCAGGAACGCCGTTGAGCGGGATTATGTATTGAGGCGCGACGCATTGCCGTGATTCCGGGCTGCCCTGGTGTGTGCGAG